ATGCTATGTCTACTGCATTCCCTTCATCTAGCAAGCTGGTCATTTTATAAAAAAAAGAAAAAAAAAAGAGAGAGATCAGAATAGTCTGGCATGACTTGTTTTTGAGAAACCGATGTTGACTTTTAGTGATTATGGCATTCCCTTCTAAATATTTACAGACTCTCTGTTTAATGAACTGTTCTAGAATGTTTCCCAGTATTGATGCCAGACTAACTGGGCAATAGTTGTTGGGATCCTCTTTTTTTTTTTAATGAGTTTTTTTTTTAAAGTGTCTATACAAAATTCCAATACAAAAATTTCAATTCATGATATAACAGTATAGCAGAAGAGAGAAAAAAATAGTGGGAGTAAATTAAAGAAAAAAAAGGAAGAGAGAAGAGAAGAAAAACAGAGGAGAAAGAGAAAAAAAGAAGAAAGAAAGAGAAGAAAGAGAAAAAAACAAAAAAACAGGAAAAAGAGAGATAAGAGTTATTACATATATCCTAAGCAGCCATAGATAATCATAGTTTCTTTATGTCAATCTTCATCTCATTCTTTGCAGTCCACATAGTCTTCCATATATTATTCTGCTTATTACATTGTAGTTTCAACTTCCATAAATCAAATTAAAGATTGTTTATTCTTTGGCACTGATTTCATTGTTTCTTTTCTTATTCTTTCTAAGTTCTAAGTCCATGTAAGAGAGAGGAGAAATTAAATAAAAACAAAAAAATATAAACATTGTAATTCATGTACCAATTATCTCTATACGTATTAATATATACTAATATGCTATTTTTATTATCCCCTTTTTAAAGATGGGGACAACATTTGCCCTCCTCCAGTCTGTTCTCCAGGAGTTCCCAAAGATTATTGCCAATGGCTCCAAGATTACATTTGCCAGTTCTTTTAATATCCTTGGATGTATTTCATCTGGTCCTGGAGACTTAAATTCATTTAGGTTAGCCAAGTATTCCTGTACTTCCTCTTTACTTATTTTGTGTTCTCTGTTCCATTTTCCTCAGGTTGAACACCCTTTTCCTTTTGTGAGAAGACTGAGGCAAAGAAAATGTTGAGTAGTTCTGCCTTTTCTCTGTCCCCTGTTAGAATTTCTCCATCTTCTCTGCACAATGGTCCTACCATTTCCTCCTTCTTTCTTTTGCTACCCAAAGAAGCCCTTTTTATTGTCCTTAAGCCCTCTAGCAGGCTTGAGTTCATTCTCATTGAGTTCATAGTCATTGAGTTTGACTATGCCTAGCTTCTCCTTTCCACTGTATAAGAAACCCCAGGAGAACATGATCACTCCCACCTAAGGATCTCACCACTTGCACCCCATTCACCAGGTCATCCCTGTTGGTTAGGATCAGATCTAAAATAGCTGATCCCCTTGTTGCCTCTTCCATCTTTTGGATAAAGAAATTGTCTTCAAGGCAAGTGAGGAATGTCATTATGTGAAGGTTTGGAAAGGTCTTCTTTGTGTGATTATGCTCTTATAGCTCTTTCTGAAAGTCTGGGGGGGGGGGTTGCTTTTTCTTGGGTTCCTGACTGCCCACAGGGACTCTTTCTAGACCTTTAAAGAAAAATCTGATGATCAGGGGCAAAGTCATGTGCTGCAACCCCAGTTCCATATATGTGCATTTATTCTACCTAAAGAGAACATCTGAATGGTATTTATCTCAGGAATACTTGGTGACAAACCTGCATCACAGGCATTCATGAGAATGCTGGGACGTTAATGTATGACATTGTTTAGCATTTAGCTTTTTAACTGTATACACAGACATAGTGAATTATACCCAAGAGCTTGGAAAAATTACTCTTTTTGACATCAAAATTTCCAGAATCTTCCAGTCAGGATGCCAGAATCTTCCAGTCAGGATTCTGGGAGTTGTGTTCAAAGTAACTTTTTCAAGCTCTGTTATAGGCATCCACATATCCATCCATCCATTTGGTAATCTGAATGTCAAATAATTAATAAACAATTTATTAAAATAAGTCCTTTTGAACTATACAACATTTTTAGTGTGTGTGTGTGTGTGTGTGTGTGTGTGTGTTTTTGCCCCATTGAAATAAGAAAAGAACAATTTTCCAGTTAACGGGTGGCTTTGGGGGCAGAACTCTTACAAGATATGGCTCCCTCAAAATGATTAGAGGTTTGGTTATGCTTTGCTAGACATGGATTTTAAGCACATTGTGTTTAGAGGTCTGAGCCCAGCTTTCACAACCCATAAAGCCAAGTATGAAGCTGTATGTAAGCTAGTAAAAAATTATAATAATAATAAAAGGGTATTAAAATGTTAATGATGCTATCATATTCTCTGTTTATAACAGAGTCTAAACTCACTGAGATGAAAAGGATGTCTTAAAATAGCATAAAGAATAAAGGAATGATAAGTGTTTTGAATTCTTAGAAGTGTTTTGGTTTTGATTTACATTTAAATTAGTTTTTGAACAGTCAGAGAGAAAAGTAAGAAGGGCTCAAATGAGAGACATTTCAGCCAGTAGATAATCCAATATGGGGTTTAACTGGACAGAAGAGAAACATTTGGGTACTGGAATTTTTCCGAAATAAACTGGTAGAAAAAAATACAACTGATGGAAGAGATAGCTTATTGTTCCTTATGTTTTGTTTTCACAGCAGATGCCTTTCTGCTGGTGTTAAATATTTTGCTACAGTATCTCTACTTTTGTTGTTGTCTTCCTCAGGATTTAAGACACTATTGCAGTTCCTTTGGGTAGGTTGCAATGGTATTTGTATCGTCTCTTACTTCAACCTTCTTCTTTTGCAGAATAAATGTATTTTGAAATAACTCCTCCCCAAATT